AGATGGCACAGAGTGCACCCTCAGCAAGTCTGCAGATGATACCAAGCTGAGGGGAGTAGTAGATATACTGGAGGGTAAGGCTAGGATTCAGAGTGACCTAGATAAATTGGAGGACTTGGGCAAAAGAAATCTCATGAGCTTCAACAAGGACAAGTACGAAGTCCTGCACTTAGGATGGAACAATCCCATGCACCAGTACAGGCTAGGGGCTGACTGGCTGGGTAGCAGCTCTGCGGAAAAGGACATGGGGGTTACAATGGACAATAAGTTGAATATGAGCCAGTAGTGTACCCTTGTTGCCAAGAAAGTTTATGGCATACTGGACTGCATTGATAGGAGTGCTGCCAGCAGGTCAAGGGAAGTGATTATTCCCCTTTATTCAGCAATCACGAGGCCACATTTGGAGTACTGTGTTCAGTTTTGGGCCCCCACTACAGAAAGGATGTGGACAAACTGCAGAGAGTCCAGTGGAGGACAACAAAAATGGTGAGGGGGCTGGGGCACATGACTTCTAAAGAGAGGCTGAGGGAATTGGGCTTATTTAGTCTAGAGAAGAGAAGACTGAGAGGGGATTTAATAGCAGCCTTCAACTACCTGAAGAGAGGCTTGAAAGGGGATGGAGCTAGACTGTTCTCAGTGGTGGCAGATGACAGAACAAGGAGCGATGGTCTCGAGTTGCAACAAGGCAAGTTTAGGACAGATATTAGGAACAATTTTCTTACTAGAAGGGTAGTAAAGCACTGGAACAGGTTACCCAGAGAGGTGCTGGAATCTCCATCCTTGGAGGTTCTTAAGACCCAGGTAGACAAAGCCTTGGCTGAAATGATCTAGTTGGGGATGGTCCTGCTTTGAGCAGGGGTTGAACTAAAAGATGTCCTGAGGTCCCTTCCAACCCTAATTTTCTATGATTCTATGATTTCAGAATCGGGGGGGGGGGCGGCCATGGCTCAGCACTGCTCAATATGTGTGTATACTCCAGATATCCCTCACAGAGGATCCATGTGCTAATTATCCCCCAGTCATGACTGGAACCTGGTGTTCTTGTCTTGAGTCTTGGGATCCTCCAAAAATTTATATTCAGATGAGGCACAGGGCAACCTGGTCTGGCTTCACCTGATGTGTGTCTATGTGTCCAATATAATCATATGTTACAGGCTGAGAGAGGGGCTGACAGAGGGAATCTGGGCGAATTGTTTAGGTTCCAATTTGGTGATGTCTGACAGACATTTAAGGCTGATGAAGAGACAGGAATAATTGGAAATTAGAAAGAAAGATGCAGCTCAGCTATGGGGATGAAGAGGAAGTCAAAATGTTTGCAATGTAATGGCTCACTACATTGACTTGAAAGAGTCAGTACTGAGGAGGACTGCACTCAATGGACACTACCATATATATTATTCAGATGGGGTACACTGACCGATCCTTGTGGTAGGTTTCCATCAGTATGCTTTCACAATATGGGCCCTGCATTTTATAGTCACGCTCAGTGTGGCTGCATTTAAACTTCATATTTAGTTTCCATTGCTGGGCACATACTGCTTTTGGTAGTGGTTCAAAGACAGACAATGTATGTAGTGAGGCTCCTTGTATGCATATATCAGATGAGGAGTTTTCTCCATGCAGACTGGGGGGAAAGGACTCATCTTGTATTTGAGTAAATATGGTATTAAAAATTAAGATGAACTCAAGTTTTATTTTATTTTATTTTAAATGCATAAAATCCACATAAAGAAATTATTTCTAAATGTTATACTTCTACCTGTAAATCAATTTAAAATGTAACAGCTTTGAAAATAGAAGCATTTCTTAAAGTCTTAACTGGGTATAGTGCAAGGTACAGCTGCAATATTCACAATGGAGGTAGTACATAATTGAGTTAATGTAAAGTTTAATATAATGTTACACAAAATATACTGTATTTTATCACATACAACGTGCATCTTTCTTTGAAAAAACATCTGCTGGAAACTGGAGTGTGCATTACAAGAAAAGAAGTACAATAACAGCAATTTCTGCCCCTTATGGTTTTGCTGGGCAAAAGTAAAGGTAACTGCACATGACCCACAAGGAGCAGAATAATGTGCAGGCTCATCTCCACAGCCGCTGCTACTCATCTACTACAAGGAAATTTTTCCCCCTTCATTCTGCCTTTCAAAAGCAAGGTGTGTATCTTGTTCTGAGGTGTGTTTTGTGCAATAAAATACAGTATTTTATGTGTCCAATATAAAGGGTTTTTTCCATCAAAATTAGTTACCTGGTTTTTGCCCTGAGAAAGTGTGACATCAGCACCCTCTCTGAGCCTAAGCCATTAATATGTTCAGTGTTCAATATATCTACATAGTAACTTTTTGCAGTTAGTTAAAATCAAATCTCTACAATTTCTCCATGGTCAAGGACACTGTAGATGGTCATACAGTAACCACTTGGATCTGACAGAATTCAGTATAGTTGCTGCTGCAATCTAAAGAGGAAGTGCCTAAGACATAAGCCAGCAAAACTGGTGAAACTTAGACTCTCCAGTAAAGAATTTTTACTCTGCCACAGTATTCTCAGAGACATGTCGAGAAAATAGGTTTTTCTATCTAGAAAGCTGGTTTTAACATCTCCGACTGCACATTCTATCACAAATCATTGTACCATGCTTCACACTGAAGGTACAAGATAGAAGTTATTCACCTGAACCTGGATAGAGTCTATGCCAACAATATCTATGCTGTTAAATTGGTGAGAATTTAATCAAAAGTAAAAAGCAGCAGTATCAAGGTAAATGGTGCTCCAAAAAAAAAAAAATCTGTTTCAGGAGAAAGTAAAATGTATCATTTTATTTATCTAAATCCCTGCCATATCAGAACTGCATGAGTAGTATAGATCCTTGTACAATTCTTTGAAGATGTAACTTTTATAGTCCATCTTATATTTTTGTGAACAAGCAAGTTTCCCAGAAGTACCTGGTATAGTTACCACAATTCAGATATTTAATACTATATCTTTTCCAGCTATTTCCTGCATTAAATTCTCTTTTCAGTTTAAGAAATAGTCTTTGTGACAAAGCATTAAATCAAGAGGCTAGTGACAAGTTCCAATACAAACATTTTATTACTGGCAAGAGAAAACTAGGTATTTTCACACACTGCTCTCTTTCATTCTGTCACTATTCTACTAAGTAATATATATGTATTTGCTCTCTCTCATGCAAACACCTCTGATTCAAATAAAAAAAATATAAAAATAGATTTTCATTGATACAAGTGTGCATAATTCTCTGGGATCCATTAGTGCATAATCACTCACCTGTCAATTACATAGAAGTTGTCACCATCATCACCTTGATCAATGACGTGCTCCCCTCCTTCAGTCAGCTTTTCAAACATAGCATCTAATACCTGGGACATCTGTTCCTATTTTAAAACAAAGTATACAAGATAAAAACTACACTCTGCTTTTAAAGAATTACTCTTCTAATGAGCCACTTTGTTTATTTCTGTTTAAATACTGTACTGGATGCAGCTCAGATGATGGCAGCACCATTATGGTATCTAGAAATGTCACACTGCAATTATGTCTAGATTTACCAGAAATACAGTGTGGTTTTTAACCAATATGGTAACTTTCAATTCCAGATTGTCCAGAACAAAAACCCAAATCCACAATGTTGGTACTACTATTATTTGCTTTCCTAATGCATATGGCTTCCTTGGATTACAATACAAATTGTACATAAGCATCTGAGGGTAGAATTATGTTTTGCGATTATGGGACTTCCTGTTATGTTCAGCCACGGTTAAGCTAAGAGAGAACTCAAGAAGGACAGGTCTCAATGACTGCTGAATGACTTAATGAGCAGAGTATAGGAATCTCTGGCTGATGAATGACCAAAATGAGAGATGTAAGAAATAAAAACACACTAATGAGCAGAGAAGCTGATCCAAAAAAGAGAGTGTTAGGAGTAAAGAAAAATTAATGAGGACAGGTGCAGAGATAAGAGAACTAAAGATGCTATATGTACAAGGTTGGCAAAGGAATGAGTAAAAATGAGCATCTTGGCAAAAGGACAGAGAAACCCTGGCACATAATTTGGGTATTTCAAGTATAAATATAGATGCCACAAGACTTATTCTTTGTTGCAACTTAGGGGGGTGTAATAGATGCACATTTGCTACCACTGTCCTGGACAGTCTCACTGAGTTGGGCTGATTACTAAATAGATTAGCTAGTCTACTATACAAGTGGTAATAAAACTCTCTAAGCTTTTTACCACTGGACATGAAATTGAGTTGTTTTGTTTTGCACCCGGGCTTGAGGAGGCCACTTGCAGGCAATGACTTCTTGGAGTGCACAGACACCAGCAGCCTGAACACCACAAACAACAGTGAGCAAGAAGTCACCCAAAACAGCACACATGCCAGAAAAACAGTGGTAATGCTGATCTCTGATTCAGGAAGTGGCAAACTGCTCTCTTACAGTATTGCAACCTGTAATGGCAGAATATTCCAAGTTAGGTAATCCCCTCCTTCCCTCCAAATTACCCCACAATTTGAGGAAGTAAGGATGCATGCGTAGCAGATTAAAGACAGTCCATACAGGTTTAAAGAAAAAAAATGGGAAAATTTGGAGGACAGTATGCAGAGTCATGGTAGAATAATAACAAAAGTTAAAAACGCAGACTTTTACAAATTATGGGTATGGCCATATGGCTAAAACAGCATGCTGCTAAATTAATGGAGCGAATTAGAGAAAACCAGGAAATTAGAAGAAACTAACTACACAAGCAATAGAACACTAGAAGACTTGTGCCCTACTGGCAGAGCAGCACAAACACATGGTGTATTGCAACAAGTACAAGAACAGAATAAACTATTGGAAACAATAGTTAAAAATTTAAAAAAGGATAGGGCTGTCCCTCCATATTAATTTTACAAAACAACAACCCAGTTGGGGTAATCAGACAGCAGCTGGAATGTGGGGGCAGAAATGGGAAAAGGTGACTCTGGCAAAAATAAAAGCATCAGTCCTTCAAGGACTGGGCACAGACAGAAGTGACATTTTTTGCCTGATCTGGTTACATAAAGTGGTTTATAGCTGTGACCAAACAAAAGTGCATGGCTGCAGACAAATGCAAAACTGGCCAATTGGGTGAAAATCTGAACACTCGTTGCATGAGAGGTCAGATGGAAATGTTTAAAAAGAGTGTCTTCTGTAACTTCTGTCTGTGCTGCCTGCCAGCCTCCAGCTGTTTTCAGAATGGGAGGGGGGAAAGGGAGTGGAGGGAGTTTGGTTTGAGGATTTTTCAGCCCCTACTGGAGGGTGAAAAATTTATACATGTCATCTAAGCATGCTGCTTTAAGAAAGGGATGCAAAAAATAAAAAACACATTGAAGCTTATAAGGGAAGAACATCTGAAAGGTGTAAAACTCTTAATCAGCTAAAGTTTCAGAATCCGGTAACTAGTGAGGCATTAAAATCTAGTGCCTGGAAAAACAGCACACTAAAGATAAAGATGAACACCCTGAATACTGACATGAATAAGCTGAAAATGTCTTTTTCCAACAAGAGCTTTAAATTAAGGCAAAAAAGCTGAAATTCTTACAGGTATGAATAAATTAAAAACAAAAAGCAAACTGACTGCTGTGTTTGGGCTCACAAGAATGTTTCAATCAGTTAAAAAAGAATTAACAAAGCCTTGGTTGTAAAACATTTTTAATTTCTGTATCCTTTTTACAAACTTTTGAAGATACTAATGTGCATGGGTTAACTAATTTTTCTCTTCCTAAACTGGCAAGTTTATCTGAAAGGAAAAGTTCAAACCAGTATTTTATCAACTATTTTCTTTTCACCTTGGAAGTTTGTGGTTGTTCCTTAAAATTTGTAACTATTTTTTTGTTAAATCTTACCCACACTTTACTTTTCAAAGCCTAGAAATGAATGTGCGTTCCATCAAAGTACTAAGTTAACAGTTCTCATCCCTGCCTAAGAGTGATGCTTTTAAGTGTGCTTTGTTTGTAAGTGTTGTGTTGTGTAGAACGTACACCTATCTTGTGTGTGTTGTTTGCTGCAACAAACGTGAATTTGAACTTAAGCTGTACTCTGTTTAGGAAGGTAATGAGGAAATTATGACAGTACATATGCTGCATGAGGACACACAAGAACTATTCAATACTACAACACAGTAAAAAGAATTGCAGATATAGAGTTTTCTTGTACATTTAATATTTTTAAAATTCAGGGCATTTCTAACACTTCTACTTAATATAGATTCATTCCAGCTGTACAATATTTCAAATACTAAAATAATGTTGTTTAATAATCCACGGCACCAGAAAAAAGTAATCTGCTCCCTTGGCTGTATGTCTAAATAGGTATATCTGCTCAAAGATAAGTAAAGCATAAAGTACTAGCTAAGAATTTGGGATGTTCTCACATGTCTCCAGTCCACAGAGCAAGAATTACTTATGGTAACAATAAAATTACTTTCTGTCAGTGTATTATAATAGATTCTGATTCTTGGGGACTAAAAAGCTCCAGGGATGTCTTGGAAAAATATTAAACAACAGAAAGTCACTACTCTATCCTTATTTTCTGAAAGAACAGTGCATGTACTTAGAATTTATCTTAATGCACTTCAGGGTTAAAGCACCGTAAGCTCCAAGTTCTGGACTGTTAAACCAGATCACCAGAAAAATATTTGCTGTCTGGAAAAGGCATCCTGGTCAGGAATTGTCTCTGTCATCAAATCCTTTTTAAACAATGCAAGGACCTAAACTACTATCCCATTTGTAGTAGTATTTAAAGCACTTGAGATAATTTGTCTTTTAATTATCTGCTGAATGTGCTACATTGATATATCTAGAAATCCTTTAAAAATCATAGCTATATTCTACATTAAAATATTGGGTCCCCTTCCCAAAATTGATTTGGCTAATCTCTTCTACACAACAATAATAATGTAAGCAGCATAATCAAAACCAACAGTAGCCAGAGATAGGATTCAGAAACCTTGGCTCATGGTCTTAAAAAGACAGAAATATATAGGACAAAAAAATTGTTTTTTAAAAAAGATGATTACTCATACTGTGGAAATTACCAGTGCTACTAGGAAAATTTAAATTAAACATCTGGAAGGCAACCTGCTAGACCACCAATTTTCTTTCTACAGATAACAACAAACAGAGTTTGGGGAAAGGTGGGTCAACTTAAAATCTATTATGCTGAACAGGGATGGATCTTAGCAGCAGCAGTGGCAGCAGGTACAGTTCAAGCTTGATTCCAAAGACACGTCTCTTTAGAGATAAGCGGAGACCAAATTATGAAGGCTCAAGAGAACTTCCAGCATAAGGTAACAGGACATCATCACAATGCCAGTGGACAATTTTGCTGTTCATTAAAGATGATTTTCACAAACTATGCTATACCAAAGGGACCTTCATGAACTGGTATCAGAAGTTCTGAAACAATCAGAAAACAAAGAGGGCGCCTATACATGAGCATGGAGGCTGCTCCAACGCTGAAGCAGACTTGAGTCTGCTGGGAGCATTGCAATTACTTTGCTCCAGCACCCTCCTGCGTCTTGTGCATCACATCCCTGCACTTAAAAATGGCAGTAGCAGCACTTGTTGAATGAGCTTTAATTCAAGTGCCCCTGCTGCCATTTTTAAGTGTGGGGATGCTGACAGACCACACGCAGTGCTGCTTTAATTAGAGCAGCTCTTGGAGCCATTTTAATTAAACCACTGCCCCCTCTCCCCACTTCCAGAGCACATGTAAAAGTGTCCAGAGATGGCATGACTCCTTGTTCTTTTGCTAAAAGAAAAAAATGGCTCCTGCTAAAACAGTTTAAATTTAAAATACCTGTTACGAGCAGAAATATATTCTGGATTGCTGATCTACTGTTAGCAGATTTTTTACCTCAGTGCTCATATGCAGAAATCTCAAGAGATGTGAACAACATGATCAGCCCTCAAGTAGAGATACAGAAATGTGCAGGGGGAACTTGTGTTTCACAGTTTAAATATCTGGAAAACAGAGTTTTTCAGTGCATCTTGCTCATGCAGATAATTTTCTTTATATGGGTCCATGGGAAACTAATCTGTATATTCTTTATAAAATTCAAAAGGTATTTTAAGGTCAGAAACTCTATCATATCCTTCTGTTCCAACAACGGCTTTATACAAAGAGGTTTCTGAAAACTGTGTATGCATGTTTGTGGTAGCATCCACCTGGCTGCTGAGGTAGCCCTTTTTTCTGTCCTAATGTCCTTTCAAACAGCTGGCACACAGGATCAGTACTTTAACAACTGCTCCAGCTTTATTTTAAATCACCTTTCCACATGCCACTCCAAGTCAGGAAATGAAAGCATCAATATGGTGAGCATAAGATATGCTTGCCTACCTCACTGGAATTC